GTATTATTTAATATCTTCATCAGTGATTTGGACAAGGGTGTGTTGAGCACCCTCTCCAAGTTTGCAGATGATACCAAATTTTGGGGCAAAGTTAATACACCAGAGGGCAGGGAGCAGTTACAGGCTGACCTGGACAGGTTAGATCAATGGGCAGAAAGTAATTGGATGTAATTCAACAAAGATAAATGTAAGGTACTCCACCTAGGAAGGAGGAATCCCCAGCACACCTACAGGTTGGGGGTGTCCTCCTCAGCAGCTCAGAGACTGAGAGAGATCTTGGAGTCATAGCTGACTCCAAGATGAACATGAGCCGGCAGTGCAACGAGGCCATCAACAAAGCCAAGCGCACCTTGTTGTGTATTACCAGATGCATGACCAACAGATCGAGGGAGGTGATGCTCCCCCTCTAAGCAGCACTAGTCAGGCCACAGTTAGAGTACTGTGTCCAGTTTTGGGTGCTGCAGTTCAAGAGGGACACGGAGGATCTGGAAAGGGTTCAGAGGAGGGCCACCCGCATGATTAGTGGTTTTCGTGAAAGACCCCATGAGGAGAGGTTGAGAGATCTGGATCTCTTCAGCCTATATAAAAGACAGCTGAGGGGTGACCTTGTGGCCGCCTATAAATTTATTAGGGAAGGACAGCAGGGAATTGGGGATGCGCTGTTTACCAGAGCGCCTCAGGGAGTAACTAGGAATAATGGTTGCAAACTAGTGGAGAGTAGATTTAGGTTAGACATTAGGAAGACTTTTTTTTACAATAAGGGTGGCCCGAGTCTGGAATGGGCTTCTAAGAGAGGTGGTGCTGTCATCTAACTTGGAAGTCTTCAAGACGAGGCTTGACAATCACCTGGCTGGGGTTGTCTGACCTTGGTCCTTTTTCCTGCCAGGGACAAGGGGTCAGACACGATGATCCATTGGGTCCCTTCTGATTACAATCTATGAATCTATGAATCAATGGTCTAAAGGGGTTGGAAGGTCTGGGCAGCCTCTACTCCTCCATACTTTTGCCTAGGTGTATGTATCAATGGTCCTGGGAACCTTTCACACATACAACATGATCCAGAAGTATCAACAATTGCCTACTAGTACATGAACAGTGGGGACTTACATTAATTACTGCATAGGGGGCTTATTATCTATGATTTTTCAAACCTCCTTTCCATAACTTGAGGTGCAGAGCTCTCCATTTAGGATTCAATCTAATTCTTACCAGCAAACACTCTGCTGAGTAAAACAACAATCTTCTGCTCTATTGTATTTGTGTAGAACTAGAAAACCTCCATTTATTCTCAACCAAATAATAGAAATCATAGAAAATTAAGTCTGGAAGCAACCTCAAGAGGTCACCTAGCCTGGCCCCCTTGAGACAGGATGGTCATCCCTGTATAAATCACAGGCAAGAGTTTGAGAGCAGGTTAGATATAAACATCTAAGCACAGAGGTTCCACATTTTCTTTAAGAGAAAAGCATCAATCTGTATGGGCAAATGGCAAGCTGGATATACCCATCCCATTCAATACCCATTCTATGCCTGATCAACACTGATGAAAACAGAAGTTGGTTCAGAGGTCAGAAGTATCAGTCAAGCCTAGGATTAAGTTATGAGACTATAAAACCCATTTGTTTGTAGACTTTGTAGAGCTTCTAAAAAGTTTAAATGCATGGCTATAGCCAATTTACTTACAGCTTATGGTATTCAGATTGGAGCTTCTGACTCTGAATATTACAAAAAAGCAGCTCTGTGTATTCATTATTGCAATTGCTGTAGCAATTAGAAGTTGCCACTTCTGCTTTGCCCCAAGCACCAGGCTGTATCCCTACTCTGCTGTATGGAGCTGGGTCATCTGACTCATGGGTCTCCCCACAGATCCAGACATCTGGCACCTGGGGAAGCAGTGTCAGCGTTAATTGTCACTCCCCTGCTGCCAAGTTTCCAGAACTGTGGGGAGACCCACAGGGCTAGATGACGTGGCCCTGCCTGGTAGACTGCACTAGTGTGTGACCAGATGCAAGCACATAGGGTTAGGCTGATGTCCCAACCCTATGCTGGATCTGGCCTGTGGAACAACCTCACATGTGGGATCCAACCCAGAAACCAACCTCATGCCACTCATCTGGCCCATGAGGTCAGAAAGTTGAACATCTCTAGTCAAAAATATTGCAACATCATTGTTTAAATTGTGGATGCCTTTAACCTCTGTATCTCGTACCATAAAGCCCTGATCAGTTTCTGGGGGCAGCTATAGAACTAAAGGAGGACATTTAGGTTGGAACTAGTCCTAGCAAGTACTCTCTGAATGTCAGGGAAATGATACTTTATTGAAAATACATCCTATTTTAAGCATAAAGCACCAGAAGTTTTTCTTGCACATTACGGCAATAGACATACCTGAGATCTGAAAGTATTCATGCAAAACAACAAATGGTTCAAATAAAATTTTATTGCAATGTTTATAACAAGTGGCACATATATTTAAGAACGAACATGGATAAACTCCTTTCTATATAATATCTAATAGCTTAGATGATTTGAGATCTCAGGTCTAAACACTCAGCTTTTGCAGGATGAGGCTGCTGTTTGAAAATTAAACCTGAAGCAAAATTTTGCAAATGGTCCCTGCATTTTCAAAGGTTTAAGCCAAACCTCTGATTTCTTTCCTCTTCAAGTATCTTTAAAGTGCTTGAAATTAGATCCAGAAAAAATAGTTTTCTGAAAAATAAATTTGCTAAAAATGGTGTTGGCAGCTGGTGGAAGGGAGGACTGTTTATGAATTTGGATTGAACTGTGCAAATGGGGGTGGGGTTTAAAATGTCAAAACAATTTGTTCCAAGATTTCCAAAATTAAATGTTTCATCTTAGAAATCAAGAAAAACAGTGAAAGAATAAGCAAAACAGCTTATTTGCATTGAGTGAAATGTTGCAGCATGGCATAAAACAATTCTGTCTTTTTGTTTGTTTCACTGTAAAACCAGAAAATTTTCTGTTTTGGTTTCATCCAGAATTTATATTTTTCCTGTTTTTTCTGTTTGCTGTCAACATGAAAAGTTCAACTTTTTTGCCTACCTGTACTTGAAATGTGAAGGCAAATCTGAATTTTGCAAGCTGAGCCCATCTCTAGTTTTGGATCACCCTTTAGTTCATTGTTTTACAAATGCATCTTATACTTATTACAGCCATATATGAAAGCTGCTTTGAACAAAGCTCATCTCTTGTATTTCCATTATACATTTCCTTTAGACATCTGCTATTTACGAGCACAGCGTTTTCTGAGTGCAGATGATCTTCAGTAGATCACACAACAAAGTCTTTCCTGATATCAGTTACTCCCTCCAATTTTTTAAGTAACTGAATTTGTACCTGATGAGAAAGCAACAAAAGTCCACGAACAAAAGCCTTTCATTGAGTAACAGAATAGGCACAGCAGTATGTGACTTTCTGCCTGAATGCACCCCATTTCAAAACAGTTAGAGATCATTTGTATTTTCTGTTTTCGGTAAGGTGGCTTCTCTGAAAATGAAAAAAAAAAATTACAGACAAACAAAACTTCATTTCTCTCCCTTCCCCTGGAATGACTGAGAGCAACATCCTAATGTTAGAGCTAAAGAAATAATTTTTAGAATGCCAAGTATATTTTTTTAATTGCAGGAAATCTATGACATTATTTTAATAAGAACTGATGAGCTTCGGCTACAATCATGAAGTTTCTGACACATAACCATTGTTTTTCTGGACCTCTCCTCAAAACTGTCTTGCTGTTACTAAGTATTCAGGTTGCAGCTGTATTGGTCTAGAGGCAAAAGGAATCAGAACTCATGGTAGAGGTGATATTTTTATTAGACCAACTAGATTTTTGCAAAAAAAAATTATTTAATTGCAAGCTAGGAGAACAGTCGTTTCCCCTATGCCTGAAGAAAGGTGCTTGTGCCGGAAAGCTTGCAATTAAAGGGTTTTTTTTGGCAAAAATCTAGTTGGTTTAATAAAAGATATCACCTCTGCCACGAGTTCTGATTCCTTTTGCTGTTATCAAGTTAACTTTGACATGGCTATCCCAACTTGTGGAATTAGCTGTGAAAATAACTGACTTGCAGATGCTATTTCCAGCTGCAAGGAGAAGTCAACTAATGGCAAATCTAGCATTTCTTAGAGCATGTAGCCTGGAGAACTGAGCACAAACATTGTTGGGATGGGAGATAAGAAATCATGTGACTTAAGCTTATTCATGAAACTGACTTGATATATGTGCTGATGTCAAGTTACTGCTGCACCTTAGTTTCTCCTGCAAGTTGGGGATAATAATACTGATCACCTTTCTTTGGAGGGGTTGTGAGGCTTAGCTAACGTTTGTAGAACACTCTGAAAATGCAAAATGCTGGGAGTGTTGTTTCAGTGGGATTTTATTGCTTCAGAGGTCTTTGTTCTGATTTTCAAAAATAAAATTAACTCTTAATCAATTTAGCACCTAAAATTATAAAGATCATTTCCAGCATCTGAAACAGTTCTGGTTTTCACATTTATATTTCTAAGGAAAGACCAGGATCCCTGCATGCATTCTGATAATAAAAGATAGCAGCACTTGCTTACATTTTTAGATTTTAAATTGTTTTATTTTTTGTATTGCAGTTGTTCTTAATGATCTTAGTCAAGGATCAGAACCTGTGGTATTGACAAAGAGTAAAAAAAAAGACCTGCCCCCAAAAGTTAACTGTCTAGGATCCTGCAAACAGTTATGTATATGCTTAAATTTAAGCTCATCTAAAGGCTAGTGCTTGCAGTATAAGGGCCTCATTTATGAGAAAGCTTGAGTAGTGTATGAAACAAACAGAAGAGGAGGCAGGGGTGCACAAAATTAACAGATAAGAAGGAAGCTATTACATTATAAGCAGCTCACCACCTCTGTAGCCATTTTTAGTTGGTAGTGCTTTATAGGCATTACAGCATGGGAAGGATTTAAAGAAAGATAAGGTAGATGGACTTCTGGATTTGTTTCTCACTGGTTTTACACACTTTTGGAACAATAATGCAAAGGTGAAATCTGCTTTTTTATTCCCATGGTATTTTAATTTTATAAAATAGGTTGTGCTTCATATTTATTTCACAATGTTGGCCTTCAGCATAAAGACATACTTATCTTTTTAAGTTACATAGGAAAGTAGGATTATGTGTGTGTCAGCTGTTTACTTCTTATACTTAATTTTTGTGGATTCTAATTTTTCCAGAGATCATTCAAAATCCACCAATAATGTGTAGGCAAAATTTTCCAGAAGGAAAGTTTACGTAAAGCATTGGTCAGGGATGACCAATGCTTTATATGCCTATGTTATACTGTGTGTAGTTCCCATGCTTCTGGACTTTGCTGGTTGCCACATGGGGTCTGGAAGGAATTTTTTCTCCTCCTGTAACTACACATGCCCGGGGTTTTCTTCATGTTTCTCAGAAGCATTGGTTGTTGGCTGCAGCCAATGCTGAGGATTTTGATTGGGGGATGCCAGTGCTCCTGCTCCCATTAAAACGTGATGGTTTCTGGCTACAGGTTCTTGCCCCTCTGCTCAAATTTAGACTGATGACCACATTTAGGATCAGGAAGGAATTTTACCCCATGATCAGATTGGTACAGACTGTGGGGGTTTTGCCATCTTCTGTAGTGGGGGGAGGGGGCTGGGGAGCGTGGCCTTCTTCTTTGGATTTCTTGAGTGAATTTTAAAGAAATTTTTCAGCAGCTGGAACTTGGCCACTGTGGTCCCCCTTCTTTACCTGTGGCAGATTAGGATGCTATGCTTTGTGTTTGTATGTCAGGAGTGGCTGTGTAGTTTTAGTAATAGGTTAGACAGGGATTTGTGTGGGATGGTTTGAATAGGGATGATCCTACCTCTGGCAGAGCATTGGACTAGTTAACCTCCAGAGGTCCCATCCAGCCCTACTTTTCTATGATTCTATGAATATATGATTAGCATGTTAAATATCCCATCTGTTACTGATCCACATCAGTGGATGACATGGCATAATAAAATCATTTTAGGTCTCTGTCTGCTTTCATCAAGGGATCAGAATGCACTTACAAACACTGAAACAAATAGCCTCACAATACTTCTCTGGAGAGAGGCAGTTAGCTATGCCAGTTTAGCTAACTGCAGAAGTCAAGGTAGAAGTGCACCTCGCAGATCAGTGGTACTCAACTTATCCATCTCTGAGAGCTGGATCCGGCACAGCATGGCCAGTCTGTGGGTGATACATGGCATCTGCTGACCTGTTCCTCCATGCTGGATCTAGTGTGCACCAGCCTGCAGCACATGGGGCCACCTTATCTAGCTTGTGAAGCTCCTCACAGGTCCAGAGCAGAGGAGCAGTGTCAATGTTATTTGCTGCAGTTCCCAAAGCTATGGCAATGCATGCTGCTTCAACAGGGTATCTTGCCAAATTTCCAGACCTGTGGAGCACCACTATTATAAACTAATTGAATTTTCCTGTGCATTAGGTAAGTAGTGCTGTATCTTGGTTTTACAGCTAGGGAAAATGAAGCACAGAAAGCTTCAGTGACTTGCCCTATGCCACACAGGATTTATCTATAAAAAAGAGGTGGTATGTGCTAGAACTGTGGTTTTCAACCTGTGGTCCGCAATCCCCTGGTAGTCCACAGACCATGTCTAAGGGGTCCACGAAAGATGACTATGATCAGTTAAAACTATGTGAATACCCACACTTTAATTCAAAGGGGTCTGCACCTCCACTTGAGTGGGAAGGCGAGAGGGCTATGCTTGAACCCCTCCGTACTAGGACACACTGCTGCTGCAATGCAAAGCCCTCAGGGAATCTGTGGCAGACTCTGGGACAGAACATAGTTCTCTAGACTCCAGTTATAGCTCTTAAGGTAGCTATCACTCTTTTTATTGTGTGTGTATCTGTGTGTCTTACAACTTTGTTTTTTTCTATTATCAAACTATGCACAGTCTTAGAAATATCCCCCAGAATCTGTCTGACTCATGGTACCGTAACACTCCGTATTACACTACCATTTCTGTTTCATCAGATTGAGCTCTTCCCAAATTGTCCCTTCTGTGGAACATACCTGTTCCCACTTGATCCTTGCTGTGACCTGCGAAGTGCAACGAAGCCATACAAGAATTGTAAGTGTAACATTCATCAAAAACCATTTAAAGAATCAACACGTTAGGAGTAGATAAAGACACCAAATCTTTTCTTCCCTTAATTTTATAGTTTTTTTGTTTCTCTTCAAACTTTCATTCATTTTTACTCCACCTCATCCATGCAGATGTCCAGGCAGAGTGGCACTGGGCACTGTCCACTAGCTCCCTGACCCATTTGAGAGCCATTGGGCTCCGGCTGGTGTGCTCTGCTTGGTGTCTCCCCTTGGAGCACTTGTTATTAATCTCTGAGACCCACTCCCATCCCTACTTGTATTTTTGTTGTCCTCTGGAATCTGTTACTTACTCATAGTGACTTCCTCTTAATTACAAGGGGTCTAGCAGTTTCTTTGTGGGCTCACACCCATGACTCTGTACATCAAATAGGCTTGTCTCTGACAGTGGTAGAAGTGAATGCTATACAAAGCAAGCATTGAACTAGACATATCTATAGTGATCTATTTGCTATTCAATACCCTACCTGGCATTCACCATTTATTGGGTTAAAGATGGCAGAGGAAATATGTCCAACCATTCTGTTCAATAGCCATTAATAGATCTATCATCCATGAATTTATCCAGTCCCTGTTTGAGCTTGGCCATGCTATCTGCCTTCACCATATCCTGTGGCAGTGAATCTCACAAGTTAACCACATGTTGTGTAAAAAACAAAACAAAACAAGCATGTACAAAAATTTAAATGAAACCATTGTTCCTTGCACCTCCATTGGCAAAATCTAGTCTGTCCCATTGGTTTTGCTCAGTTCTACCACATCTACATAAAACTCCTCCTCTGGTACCTGTTCCACTGTATGCACTTGAGGTTTTTGTGTTTTGGATCTGCAGTGATTACAAAGTGGTTCTTCTTACCACAGTTATAACAGAATTATCAAATATAGCATGGTTGGAGCTATTTTGCCTTCCACACCTGCTGCATACCTGTCTGAAAACTCTCTCTCTCTCTCTCGCCAATGGAAAATCCCACCCTCTGAGATGGCTTCTTACCAGTGGAAAATTCTACCTTGGGAGGTGGATTTTTCTGGCCACCTCCTTTCATGCCTAATGCATGAACAACTCCTTTTACTGAATTCAGCTTTACAGCCTGGGACTTCACAGCTTCTGCTGCCTTATATATCTGGATAGTCTTTTGTAGGGATACGTCTTTACAATAACCTCTCTTGTGACGCAGTGTCAGCAATGCCATAAATAATCCTCTGTCTAAGCCAGTGTTTCTCAACTTTTTTAGACTCAATGCACCCCCTCAGTTGACTCAAGTACCCCTCCATAACTTTTGTAAATCGAGCATCACCCCATTAAACCCCCCCCCCATTTATTTATTACAGTGCTTACCTCCTAAAGAGGCTGAGCAGTGGGTGCAGGGGAACAGCCAGGCAGGGATGGAGCCAGAGTTTGTGCTTATCTGTTTATTTTCTCACACCTGGCTTATCTCCTCACACCTTACAGCACTCTTCAAAGGATCTCAGGGCACCCAGAAGGGCAGGTGGAGGCTGCAATACTTCCATGCCTATTGTCCTTTTACTTAAACAATGGCTATACAGAGAGAGTGCAGGATAGATTTGCACCTTTTAGACTAACTAAATCAGAGATGCAGAGTATAAGCTTTTGTAAGCCTGAGCTTATCTCATCAGGTACTGTGAAATAACAGAAATTGTCTTCTATACAGAATGCTTACAGAGGACTTTGTCTTTCCATATGGTTACATTGCGCCACTTGCTTTCAGTTTCCAATTTATTTTGTTTGAATCTCAGGTTTTTTTCCCAAGTTCTTTCTTATTCACACTTCTGACACAACAGAGTGATTCCCCAGGCTACGCCCTGACCCAGGACTTCAGTCTCCTTAGTATTAGGGAGCATCTCTAAATTATAACTTCTATCATTGCAGCTCTTCTTATGAGGCTGAACCACTGCCTCAAATGGGTGAAGATCAGAACAGTAGAGAAGTATCTGTCCTATTAGAAGCAAAAACTTAGGTCTTTCTAGGGCAGCAGCAACCATCTTACTGAGCCACAGACCTTCCAGCTTGTTCTGTTCCTCCTTGGACCTATGTATCTCTGTCTCTGGGATTTTTAGGGGCCAGCTTCAAAAAAGGGAACACTGGCTAATGCCTAACTTGTGCTAGGAAAACAGAAAGAGATATAGTTTTAAACCTCCTCTTGGGAACAGGGAACCTAAATTTCCAGGCTCTTTGAGTGAATGCCTTCAAACTAGCAAGTCATTGCAGCTGAAATATAGGAAAGCTGTCTTCCGAACCATGGGTTACTGGCTGGTTAAATTTTCATGGTATAAATTACAGCTCTGCATCCAGTAGGGGCATACAGGTAGCTGTGCACCTGTCCAGCCAGCTTTATAGCCTTCTGTGCATGCTCAACCTATATGTGCATTTTTACACATCCACAGTGCAGGGGAAATAGAACGACTATTTTCAGGTAAGTGTCAAATCCAAGACACATGCGGCTAGCAATTTACCGTTTGTATGTACAAAGGAAAACAGAATTTTATCCCAAGTGGCCTAAGGTATCTCTGATCAAGCAATAAGGTATGTGAGTTAAAGTTGCTTCCAATGCCAATATTGTCTGAACTGGTGATTTTTTCTCAGTTTTTAGTGACTGCATTAATAGGAAGTGCAGCTGAACTACACTTAACTCTGTTTTACTAATGCTATATTCTGTTACACTCTCTGCAGCACAAGGCACATCTACACAAGTTGTTTACTGTGGAGCTGACTAATTAGCTGTGCAGTAAAGTCTCAGTGTCTACATGTATGCTGCTATTAGGCTGCAGGAATCTAATAAACTTCACAGCAAGGTAGTACTTGTAAATACAAGTACTATGCTGCTGCAAAGTTTTTTCATGCGCAGCAACATGTGTAGATGCTGAGGTGGCTGGCTGGGGAACAAGGGTGCTTCAGTGTGAGGGCTGCCTGCCAGCCAGCCCCCACACTGCAGTGCCCTTATGCCCCAACCAGCCCCTCCGCAGCAAATTGAGCCTGGTCAGAGCAGCTCAATGCTCACGGGCTTGCCTCCGGGGTCCTCAGCTAGCCAGGGCTGCTCTGACCGGGCTCTATCTTTGGCTCTCTCTCGATACAAGAAAGATGTCTGTTGGGGTGGGGGCATTATTGGTGAGTTTTAAGATGGCTGAAGAACCCAATCTGTGCTCTGCAAGTTTTCCCACAGATATGACAGGTGGTGCCCTGCTGTAGGAGGGCGGTGGCAGCACAGCTGTTGGCCAGGATGTGGTGCTGTTTCCTTCATCCTCTGCTGTTTCTTGGCTTCCTGAGCGTGTTGGGGAAGAGACTGTCAGTAGGGTTTTTTCCCACTTCCCCTTCCCGCATGACAGAGAGAAGGACACAGGCTCTGGTGCAGCAATATCGCTGAGTCCAAACAGGATGGGCAATGTTGGAACCCAGCGGTACCTGGTGGGGAAGTGCAGGGACAGGAGCCAGGAGGCAACAAGAGGCCTGACAGGGAAAACCCATACACCCCTGTGATGGGTCTGAGCCTGGGAGGGAGTAACCAGGGAGAGCAGTCCCTGTGGAGGATGAAGGCCCTAGAAACAGGGCAGGGTGTGAAACCCCAGAAGGCATTGAGGCCAAGAACAGCAACCAACAGGGTGGGCACCCAAAGAGGGTCCGATCAGAACAGAGGGCACAACAAGATGCTGAAGAGCCCTAGAATTCATTTGGTGGTGAGGATCTGTAGCCACAAGAGTATATCAGTGGAGGCTGGTCAACTTTATGTTAGTTTTCTTAAGTTATTGTTTAAAGAACTGTAGTACACCAAACCATGATGAGTGTAGTTGCTGGGATGTTAGCCCCAGCCAAGGAACGGCTGAGGACAAGCTGACGGCTGGGGAGCAACCCTTCTACAAGCAATGGGCAGCTTGGGTGAGAGGATATCATCTGGACAAAGTGAACTCTGAGACAACAACACTAGATCTGGCCCAGGATGTGGTAAGTGGGGGGCTTGGTGACCCATGAAGAAACCAAACGAGTGAGATCACACAGGGTAGGAGCAGCCCTGTACTAGGCTGCTCCCAAGACCGAAACATGTAAAGTTGCTCCCAGAGAAGTCTTACTGAATAGTATTTTACTGTGCAGTAAGCCTTGCAGGGGTTGTAAACCAGGGGTAGCCCAGGGGTAGTTAGAAAGGTTGTAGGTGGTATGCATGGGTGGGCGAGGATGGAGCATGCCCTGGGGCACGGCAGCAGCATCTCCCCAGAGCGTTCTCCTCTTACCTGGGGGTAGGATGTGCCAGATGCCACCGGCCTTGCACAACACACCGTGGCCCCTCCCTGCCCCCCACCCCAGCTGACTCTCCAGAATGGTGTGGGGGTTGTGCTGCCCCCAGAGGTGTGCAATTGGCTGGATTTGAGGCCAGTCAGTAGCCTGCAGAGCCATGACCAGCCACGGCAAAGTGGTGTGGTACGCGGCCAAGCAGGGCACAAGAGCCCCTCCCCACCATTTGACCCTCATCCCAGTGCCACTGCTATGCACGCCCCTGGGAGAGCATGGGGGGCAATTCACCCCTGCCCCATTCCCTCCTGCACTGTGGGGGGCTTGGTCCCCATCCCCACTCCCTCCCTCACTGCCATGGCAGGGAAGATCAAGGCCCCCACATGCTCAGCCTACCCAAATAATTTTTTCTCCCTTCACCTATGCAGTGCCTGCCTCAGCCCCATCACCACTCCCTCCCTCACCACAGGGATCTCAATCTACCTCCCACACCATTAAAAATGGGAAGAAAATATAAGGGGGTACATGAGCTGAAACTTTGAGACTGAAGGGGGTACACCTGTTAAAAAAAGGTTGAAAACTCCCGCTTTATAGCATTCATAGCACATGTAGATGTGCCCACAGATAAGGAACCTAAGGCACGGTGACTTGGCTAAGGTCATATAGTAATACAGTGGCAGAGCCCAGTGGTCTAGCCAGC